TGTCCCATCGATGCAAATAAGTAGTAATCGGACGGAGCCAAGTCTGGTGAGTAAGCCGCATGCGAAAGTATTTCACAACCAAACGCCTCAATCGTTTCCTTGACCAGTTTTGCTGTGTGTGATGGTGCATTATCATGAAGCAAAATCACTTTGTGTTGCCTTTTTTGATATTCCGGTCGTTTTTCACAAGCAAAGCTTGATTCAAATTGATCATTTCTTGTCGGTAGCGTTCAGTATTAACGGTTTCGCCAGGTTTTAGCAGCTCATAATAGATCACACCTTTCTGATCCCACCAAACACAGAGCATCGTCTTCCGTCCATAGCGATTTGGCCTTGCAGTCGATGTCGATGGTTCGCCTGGAGTTACCCATGATCTTTTACGCTTAGGATTCTCAAAATATATCCACTTTTTATCGCCAGTCACAATTCGATGGAGAAATGACTTTCTTTTGTACCTGGTGAGCAGCATTTCGCAAGTGGTTTTTCGGTTTTCCTGCTGTCTTTCATTCAGTTCATGTGGAATCCATTTTCCCATCTTCTGGATCTTTCCCATAGATTTTAAACGTATGGAGACGGCTTCTCGTGTCACATTCAATTGATCCGCGAGTTGTCGTTGAGTTTGAGCGTCATCCTCATCCAACAATGCTTGCAATTCGCTGTCTTCAAACTTTTTCAGTGGTTTTCCACGTTTTTCATTTCTCACGTCAAAATCGCTACTTTTGAATTTTTTAAATCATTCAAAGCACTGTGATTTACCAAGAGCATGCTTACCGTAAGCTTCGACAAGCAATCGATGCAATTCTGCAGCAGTTTTCTTCAAATGGTACAGAAAATCAATGCTGTCCGCAAATCGTAGTTTCCAGGCACAAAATTCGACATGTTTAACGCTATTACAAACTATACTGTTGTATGAAACTTGTATTGTTGTGAAAATCTTTGTCAGATATCAGAACAAGGAAATGGCGTCAATGACGCGGTCTGACGGCAACTACATTGACAGCTATGGCCATCTATTGGTAAATTCCGGTTTCATATTTACATACCTGGTATACGGTCCTATAATATATTATATTTTTTATTTACATCGCCTAAAGAGACATTGTTCCTTCATATGCTAATTATTGCGAAGAATATTACTAAGGCCTTGGCAGTCTAAATGCTTAGGACGCTCGCACGGAATACAAGAAATCCGGATTCGACTCCCGGCTGAGGTAATATTTTTTTGCAATAAGAATTAATTATTTACAGACTTTAATATATTATTTAACATTATTAAGATCGTTTCAAAGATGCGAATAAGCATAAAAAATTTGCTAAATTGCCAGTCAATTTAACTCGTGATATTACTGCAGTAGTTTAATAGAATTAGATTTTTCAAGAAAAATCATTTCGGCGCGCATTTCTGGGAAGTACACACGTAGAATATAAATTCACATAAGAATTATATAAGTATTAAGATCCAGCTAGACCGTTTAAGGCTTTCATTTCTATAGTTTGTATTATCACATATACGGTCCTATAATATATTATATTAAGAATATATGAATTGTATGGACACACATATTTCATATATAATTATATATATTTATATATATTTATAAATATTTGTACATGTTTATGTACAAATGTTTATATATATATTTATATATATATTCATACATGAACAACCGAGTTTTTTACCGAGTTTTTTACCGAGTTAAAGTCTCATTATTTAAAAAGCTCAATTGGCCTAGTTGTTTTTCTGAATTTTTTATCACTATTATTAAAGCGTAATTAATGACCATATCATAATAATCCAGATATATCAATCAATAAGGAAATCCTAATTCATTAATAATCAATTCTAAATACACAGTAAAAAATCGTGCGTTCATAGAATTTTTCTTGTGTTACCACATTTTGATTATTACTTCAATGTAAATTAAACATACAACTGATATGTTATTATTTTTGTAACATTTTGATGTGTTAGATTCACTTTTCTAACTTAACAATTGCGTATGTCAATTAAAAATGGAATATTATTTTGAGTGTTTTTAATACAATTGTTTCAATTAATCTATATATCTCAAAGTCAATTTAACATCTAAGAATTTTTCATTCACATTATTCGAACAAAGATGTTTTATTAACATTTTCTTACGAGTTACTGTAACTACTCTTCTATGTACTCTACTTATTTTATATGTTAGTTTTAAACCACCCTTAAAGTCAAAATAGCAAATATAAATGTAAAGTATTGTGTCAATTATTTAACATTACTAGTTCGTTAATAAATAACACAAGACGAATTAGTTACTTTCATTTAAAATTTAGAGTGGACCTCCTGGGACATGTTAAGATTAACATTTTCTTTTTTACTGTGTATATAAAGTAATTTTTTCAACATTTTCGTGACTTTTAGGTGGATATTATGACCGAATTTAATAAAAAATGTGTCTCAAGTCACCTGACTTAGAAAAGTCTGAGTCATCTTCGTCTACGTTATATATATATAGCGCCGAGACACTGTCGTGTCAGATAAGCTTCATCAGCTCACATAGATTAGTGTAGATCAATCATAATATGTATTTGCCATAAAGTTATTCTTTAATAAGTAAATTTAAAAAAATTGACATTTCTTAATTTTTTTGATATTTGGAAAATGTTTTTAGATATTTGGAAAGTCTTTGTTTTTGTAGTTACAACAACATATATTACAGCGGAAATACGTAAGTAAATAAGAAATACATTCTCTCTCTTGTTTCTAACATTATAAATTTGCGATCTCTTCTATGTTATACATTAAATGCTAAATTTATAACTTACTAAAATTTTAAAACTTATAAAATTCAAAAGATGCTTTGTTTAAAATTCTAAATCTATTATCAACGTATAAATCTTTCGTATAAGCAGTTTAATTTAAAATTGCAAGTTATAGAAAATGATTTATATACTTTATAGCTTCCTACATTCATGTCTGTGGCCGCAAGGATCTCAACTACGATCAATGCATTGCAGAAAACATAAAAAATGTGAAAGATAAGATTTGCACAGGATTTTCAGAATTTAACATTCCACCAAATGAGCCATTGATGTTTGATAAAATAGTTATTTTTGATACAAATGATCTTAAACTTTATCTTAAAGATACGAATATATATGGATTTTGTGATCTTGTTGTAAATTCCGTTCAAGCAGACTCTGAAAGACTCCACTTCGATGTTGAGGTTTTATTTCGGCACCTTTACCTGAACACTACGTATGATTTTGATATACGTTTGCTGGTGCATGTTGCGAATAAGGGACGGATTGAGTCTGTTACAGGTAAAATATCTTACTTTAGAATAAAAAGAAAATTTGGAGAGAAGGCAACTTTTTTTAGGATAAAAAATCTAAATAAGTATTATTTTACTTTATTGAAATTATTATAATATAATATTTTCTGCAGAAAACGTAAGAATGAAGACAGGAATAGATTTAAAAACGATAACCAAAAATGGCAAGAAACATATATTTAGTTCGAAAGTAAACAGCGTTCTCCACATAAAATCATTTACATATAAGTTTAATGACGACAGCAAAGAATTAACTCAATTGCATACAATTTTGAACGATGTCATACTCAACAATGAAAAAGAAGTTATTTATGCTATGCAATCAGTAATAGAAGAGAAAGTTTCCAAAATAATAATATCAATTTTCAACAATATAGCCCGTTTCAATAGTTACGAGCAACTATTTCCAGTAGAAACATGAATTGTCTGGAATTTTGGGAATCATTATGTTATCGTACTTGTTTGTATACTCTATTTTGTTAATAACTCTTAATTAAACAATGGTTGGCGATTAAAATCCTTTCAAGATTATTCAGAGTCATGGTTTTTACAATATTTAAATAAATCAAAATTAATGTTATCAAACTGTGTTGTTCCAGCTTTCAGTAAATTTGAACTCACTGTCTTACTCTTTTACCGTCTTATACTATTTTATTCTTTTATTTTTTGTTTATCCAGTAGGTAAAAATAACCACATAATTTATCCGAAGATGGAACAACCAGTTCTTAGACATTTTTAACTAACTTTATATTTTGACATATTTACCGTCATTTGTAAGTTGAATTTATCTTTTAACATAGTAAAACTGTATAATGCTAAATAATATTATTAAATTTCATATAAAAATATGAAGTTGGAAAGAATACGTTTAGTGGCAATTTTATTACTTTAATGATTTGTAGATAATTTTGAAATGTAATTTTTACTTAAATATGGTAACTTTAAGTTCGAAACACATAGAGTAAGAAATAGCGTTTGTTGGAAAAAAAGATAAAGAAGAAAATATCGTTTATTGGTATCTAATCGATTAAAATACTACTTTTATATACATATATATAAGTAATTCTTTAATTCTTATATAGGGGAGACACACACACACTAAGTTGTCGTACAGAGTTGATTGTCAAAATGTTTATAACTTAATCAGCACATAGCAGAAAAATCTTTTTTTTGTGATTGTAGATTGCTGATATAATATTAATTTGTTATGTAAAATAGTTTACACCAAAAGCGTTATATAATATTTTTGTCATTATTAGATGTCTCTGTTTATAACAACAGGACAGCTTTATGGCGTAAATATTGTGATATAAATATGATAATTTTGTTACATATCTTTGTTATCTAGCACATAACATAATTATGTAAATTAAATGTAATTAAATTACATCCATGTACCATTCTATAAATGAGACGTAACAAATACAAAATACATTTACAAATACAAAATACAAAAAATTAAAATTATGTACGAGTTACATATGTTTGAGATATATTTGTGTTTGCTGGGTAGAAAGTCCCTCGTACCCGCCTGCTGTGATTGGTGATCGTCGATTTTAAAAAAGCAACAGAAAGTTACTTTCTTAAGTAATGGTAACTGTAACTTGTTACTTTTAAAAAGTAACTTAGTATGTTAATTATTTAACCTTTGAATGGTATTATTGAAAAAATACATCAATGATAACATCGGTCGGTCTGACAGACCGCTGTCATGTTTCTACTAATTTTATAAATTCTTTAATAATGAAGAATGTATGTACATACATTTATACGTTCATATGTAAATACGCACACACATTCATACGTACATACGTACATATGTATGAACGTATATACGTATAAGCGTAGGTGCGTATGAATGTATGTACATACTATGCATACTGAGCAAACATTCTTTATTATAAAGAACTTATAAAATTAGTAGAAAAACACAACAGCGATCTATCAGACCGACCGACGTTACCGTTGGTATATTTTTTAATGATACTGTTCAAAGATTAAATAACTAACATACTAATAACAATTATGCAATCTATTACAAATATTTCGATCATAATCGGGTCATTTTTAATGTAAATACAGACAAATTATAAGATACGAATCCGACAATGATTCTATGTTATTTCGTTTATTTGATCCCTGCAATTATTTTTTCTGTGACGCACTTTCCCTTCCCTTGTTCTCCTCACACACACATACACATCGCATATACGTATGCGCACTAATACGAAATATATTGTACTTCGTATAAATATGTTTTTTTCACTTTTTATGTAGAAACTATAGTAAAAATAAATTACATATTTTATGATTAAAATAACTATTTTACTTGTACTAATACTATGATTACTATATAGAAATGACATTAAAATAGAAATTGCATTTTTTATATGTGTTATTCATAATAAAGATGTTACTGCCGATCCTAGAACATGACGATCAATCCAAAACACGGAGCTAATTGTCACATTTTCGTAGTATCATTAGAATTGAATAACTAATTTGTATTTATTGATGATTTCGAAAGTAATATTTTTTTAATACCCAAAAGATGTAAGTATATTATAGCGTATGTAATATTTAATGTATATAAATCAGGTATCCACTTTTTTCGAAAAATCAATAATCAAGAACAATGATAATTAGCTCCGATCTTTCCTAATTTTATATAGATATGCACATAATTAAAATTGTCACGTTCTAATAAAACTTTTTTTAAATTCTGCGTAATATCGATTCTCTGTAATGATAATCTGTTTATACTGGAGAATATTTATTACTTATATAAATATAATTAAGTGTTTATATAATAAATAATACTTTTGTTGTGTTATGTAAATAACACTGTTTGCAAATTTATATAGTAATAAATCATTTCTGTAATAAGATTTTTCCGTTGTCTGTCTGTAATTAATGATGTAAAATAAAGAGGAAAATTTGAATTGAAATAAAGTCGCAACAAAAAAATACAATTTGCTTTTTTCAGAAGAAGGAAGAATTTAATTGTCATTCTTAACTTTGTATTTGCATTTTATTCTTGATATTGCGAGATACTTCTAGGAGAAAATTTTTTTTACGAAACTAGATATCTATGAAATGATTAAATGTTAATACAACGTTTAACTATGATATTGAAATAAATTTTTATTGGAAAAATTCTTTGTATTTCTTTACTTGTGTATATCGAATAAATTTTTGTTTAAATAGAAACATTTTTAAACAGTATTAAACAAAGAATGTCTTTAGGACTGTACATGTGAATACACAACTATATAAGGAATAATTGCCTTTAACAGTAAAGCTGGATCTTAAATGCTTAAATATTCCATATCAATTTATATATACCGTATGTACTACCAATGTAGTCATTTAAATTAAGCACCGAATTAATTTTTCGGGTTTGAAAGGCAAATCCTATTGAACTACTAGTAATCATAAATTAAATTGATTAGCAATTTAATAATTTGATGCTCATAGATATCTTAAAAAGGTCTTAATAACGCTGAATAATATATTAAAATGATCTTATTGCGAAAAATATTACCTCGGCCGGATATAGAACCCAGATCTTTTACATTCTGTGCAAGCGTCCCTACTAATTTTTCGGATTATTTAAAAAAACATTACTCTTATTTTTTTCTAAAATTAAGGGTATATGTTTTTAATAAGATTTATCCTATATAGTTTGTAAAATTATTTGCAATTATTTCGATCCGAACAGAGATATATGTTTTAATACATGTATAAATAAAATATTCTTAATACAGACTTAATTTATTTTAATATCATTCCATATAAAGATTGACTATAAATATTCATCCACGTAATATATACGAATGGAAAATCCAGAAAAAAATGAAGTTTTATTATGATTATACTACAATTAAATCTTACATAAGTACTACTGTGTTGCAGCATAATCTCAAAATCAGAATAAAGGAAAAATAAATTTTTCACAATGTAAATGTTAAATTTTTGATCGAATAATAAATATTATTTTGATAATCTCATTATTATTGTGTGTAATAATTTATTATTGTTTAAAAAAAATAATAAAAAAAGAATCAAAATACATATATATAAACTTACAATAAAGACTAAGCGAGCAATATTATGCTTGTTCAAAGAAAGAATTATGTCTTACGTCAATTTTTGTAATTATATTCTTGCAATTCTAAATATTTTGTAGTATAGTGAAAGATATCTATAGCACGTCACATAAAAAAATAATGTAGTAATTCTATATTTTTAAGAACAATATTTTTTTAAAACTCTCTTGATCAGAATGATCAATAAACTAATTTAAAAGAAAAGAGCATTATTTATAATTTTATTTGCCAAAATGCATATGAATTTTAATATAAGTATATGTGTATTATATAATTCTTCAATTATTATTTTTATTATATAGCACATAACATTATAACATTATAACTAACAAATTCTATTCTGAATTCTAGAATAAATTATATATCGTTTTTAACGGTTTTATGGAATAATATATTCTAGAAATTATTTTATAATATTAATTAACATATGTTTCAAAAATGAATATTTATTTAAATAAAATAATTATTCGTACCGTAATCAATTTTTATTGAAATATAAATTTCTGTTTCATTCCATAAAAAGAAAACATCTATTGTTTGTACCATTTTATTTTTAAGTGTAACACGCGAATACAATTTAGATGACTATGGCATTCTAGCATAAACTTGAATGAATAATGACTACAGAGCAAGGAAATGACTAATTATAACATCGAATCGCTCCTAAACGAGAATATTGTTTGCTTTCTGTACTGATTTTTTTCTGATTCCTTTCCGTAAACGGATTCTTTACAACTCATTCTCTATTATAATTAATTTGCTTCTTGATTATTCTCCTACACAATTTCCATGTAATTACATGAACATGTGTACGTGACAAAACGAATGAAAGACAAAGTACACGATATTTCGACGCACGTGTTGTTATAAAAAGAGCAAGAATTCATAAGCAATTTAAAATAAAGTGGTAGGTATATAAGAGCCTGTGTGCATCTGTGTAGATTAGTCTTGATTCAGATCCGTCGTGTATCAATTACAATTGCTCGCGAGTCATTTTAAAAGATCAGAAAAATTTCGTATTGAAAAATGTTTGCTATAATTTTTACTTTTGCACTTATGACAGCATATGCTGCCGCAGAAATACGTAAGTTTGTAAAAGTATTTATCATTTGAGAAGCAGATTTTCAATATGCGTTTCGTCCAAAATTTATAATTTTCAGGAAGTGAGAAAGGAAGCAACAAGAAAACTTCACATCTTATAGAAAATAACAATTTGCCAATCAGTAAGATGTAAAATGTCCAACAAAATTGCTAAACAGTTGTTGAAAATGTTAAACAAATACTTTTTGTTTGTCTCTAGTTAAAGGACATAATGCACTTCGAATGTCAAGATTTCTTTCAGCACATAAATTGGTGGTGTAGAAATGCTTTTAGAACATCTAAAGAGTAACTTAAAATATGAGTCTCTCAACACTAAACATTATGCCAATTAAAAAAATAAAATTTTGGACAAAATGCATTTTGAAAGTCTGCT